TTTTGCTTGCAAATTTATCATCATGAAAGATGGCTTCAACCCATTCTACGCCGCCTATAGGTTAGTTTCCTCTTTCAAATGACCATTTTGCCCCTGAACGGTAAAAAACTTTTTTTTTCCTTTTTGTTGTTATTATAGCCACCCCCTGCAGTTAATGACACCAACTCATACAATGTATTTAGACCAAGGGAGAAAGCTCATAGACTTCATAAAAGATGGGTAAGTTTGTCAATTCTTCATATTTTTACATAATCTAAGGTATTAAAAAATATTTATATATTTTTAGATGCAAAGAAGAGAAAACAATGTCCAATCATTTGAAAAGCTTCGCCAGGTAAGCTTTTTCACCCATATATGCTCTCATTCTACTTCTTAATGTTACATTGTATTTTTCAATCAGGTGAGACACAACCTTGATCAAACCAAAAACTTACTAGAAGCTTTAATCAAGGTACCTTCATTCACACACACATTTCTTTTTATTTTTCATTTTTATTTTGGTAGTGATAATGACTAGATGAAGAATATGTGCAACAGAGAGAGAGGAGAAAAAGGGAGATATTTACCTTTTAAGAATCATCGTTCACAGAAGAACCTCATCCCTTTCAACTTTCAAATTTCACCTCTATGTTGGTTGGTTGAACACAAGTTTACCCTTGGAAACAATTGAATTTACTTTTAATCCGCAGCGATCTTTATATGTTTGTTTTCTGAAATATTGGATAAAATATATGGATTTTGTTTTTTAAAAGTGACATTTAATTTTTCATATTATAAATGTGAAGATTTATTTGCTTATTGTTGTTGTATTGTAAAAATTTATAGGATTGATTTTTCTTTTGTCTAATTGGATATTGTTATATTTCATATTAAAAATGACATTTGATATTTCAATAATTTCTTAATTACTGACCCCTTTTTTTGTCTAATATGATAAATCAGTGACGACCTGATATAGTCACTAATTAGATAAACCAGTGACCACTTTCTATGATCACTAATCGGATAAAACAATGACGACTTTTATTGGTCACTAAGTAGATAAAATAGTGACGACTTTCGTTGATTAGTGACAACATTTAGTGACGAAGTGGCTCATCACAGATTTAGCGACAAGTATATTTTAGTCACTGTTTAGTGACCATATTTATATTTGGTCACTAAATCGGTTTTGTGACGGACCTATAGTGACAAAAGTGACTACCGGAATTTTGATCACTAAATCGATTAGTAAGAACTCATTTTATTGTTAGTGACCATTTTGTTTTGGTCACTAATTGGCATTTTTTTATGGTGATATTATATATGACCATCTTAAATATCAAAATATTGTATATGCACATTTTAAATATTATAATGTCAATAGTTTCCATCTACAACATGATAATAATCAATATCAACAAAAACAAAACAATCAAAATATATACATTTTATAGAGAGGGTTGGAGATTAATAATTTTGTTTTGCCAAGAAGACATCATTCTAATAATTTAGTAGTTGACATTCCATTATCAAAGACATAACGATAATATGGTTAAATTTTTTTAATTATTATAATAACTTTAAGTATAAAAAATGATTATAAAATATTAAAAATATTATAAAAAATGATTTTGGCAAGTTTGATATTTTAAAGGTTTATGAAGAGTAATATGGACAAATATTATATTTTCAAGTTTAATAAGAGCATATATATATATATATATATATATATATATATATATATATATATATATATATATATATATATATATATATATATATATATATATATCTTATAAAAGAAATCTCACTATTTCTAAAAATAGATTGAATATAATAATATTATTTTTTTAAGACGTTCAAAGCATTAAGCTAATAGTACAAATAGTCATCAATAAAATAATATTAAATTTTAACTTGTGTTTTGAATCCTTATATTTCTCAGCAAATTCTATATCCTTCCCTGAATTTCGGATAATTCAAAATTTGAAATCATCAGAAAATACATGTTGATTCAAATATCCCTCCTGCAGATGGCTCTTTCTTAATCCTTACTTGTAATTGATTTCATCATTTTTAACTTTTTGTATTTTTATCTTATAAATATATTGGGTGAAGACTTTATTATATCAGGTTTGTTCCTAAAAAGGTTTTTACTATATTTCTTTAATGTGTTGGCTTTGCAGGTTCAAAGAACTCAACCAAGGTTTTTACTATATTTCTTTATTGTTAGTGACCATTTTGTTTTGGTCACTAATTGGCATTTTTTTATGGTGATATTATATATGACCATCTTAAATATCAAAATATTGTATATGCACATTTTAAATATTATAATGTCAATAGTTTCCATCTACAACATGATAATAATCAATATCAACAAAAACAAAACAATCAAAATATATACATTTTATAGAGAGGGTTGGAGATTAATAATTTTGTTTTGCCAAGAAGACATCATTCTAATAATTTAGTAGTTGACATTCCATTATCAAAGACATAACGATAATATGGTTAAATTTTTTTAATTATTATAATAACTTTAAGTATAAAAAATGATTATAAAATATTAAAAATATTATAAAAAATGATTTTGGCAAGTTTGATATTTTAAAGGTTTATGAAGAGTAATATGGACAAATATTATATTTTCAAGTTTAATAAGAGCATATATATATATATATATATATATATATATATATATATATATATATATATATATATATATATATATATATATATATATATCTTATAAAAGAAATCTCACTATTTCTAAAAATAGATTGAATATAATAATATTATTTTTTTAAGACGTTCAAAGCATTAAGCTAATAGTACAAATAGTCATCAATAAAATAATATTAAATTTTAACTTGTGTTTTGAATCCTTATATTTCTCAGCAAATTCTATATCCTTCCCTGAATTTCGGATAATTCAAAATTTGAAATCATCAGGAAATACATGTTGATTCAAATATCCCTCCTGCAGATGACTCTTTCTTAATCCTTACTTGTAATTGATTTCATCATTTTTAACTTTTTGTATTTTTATCTTATAAATATATTGGGTGAAGACTTTATTATATCAGGTTTGTTCCTAAAAAGGTTTTTACTATATTTCTTTAATGTGTTGGCTTTGCAGGTTCAAAGAACTCAACCAAGATGGCCAGTTAAAGCATTGTATTATCATTAGTTTGTATATTTTGGCATCTTACTTTTGCAATAAAGAACGGTTAAAAACAAGATTTGACATGATTAAGGTAGTTTGTATATTTTTCATCTTGTTTAGTCTAAAAATGAACCTTTTTCATCATTGGTCCTTATAATATCAAGTTTCATCACATCGATTTCCTGATTACGGTGATTATTGTCCTTATTATAAGGTTCTATATAGATTTTATTCAATATTTTAAGGTTTCGAGAACCTAAATCAATATGAATCCTTGAATTAGATACCATCGTTGAAAATGTTTTAATTTGTGATAAAACTTGGTTTAAAATCACAGTTAACAAGTTGACACCTAAGTATTTTGGCCTTCTCAAAGACCTATTTATCGACTTTTGAATCACAACACTTAATATTCTAAAAGTTTATTTTTATAAACTATTATTATATATTTTAGCATTTTACTTAGTAGGACATTAAATTAATAAAGGAATTAAGGAAAAAAAAAAAAAAAAAAAAAGACAATAAACAGTACAAGTGGTTTGAGTATGTATAAATGGAAGTAATAACTATTTAGGGGGTGTTTGACAAAAAAGTTTATTGCTTATTAGTTTATTAGCTTATAAGTTAATAAGTAAGTGTATGGTAACTTATGAAAAAAATGATGTATTAAAGGTTCCCCACCGGAATCAGTTATTTTAATATAAATATTTTTTTAACTTATAGTGATGTGGAACCTAATAAGTTGTTTTAAAAAAAAGCTTAGTCAAACACCCCCTTAATATGGTATGGTAATGCTCTTAAAAAGTAGATGTCATTTAATATTCATTTTCTCGAAGTGAACGCAAAATGGTTTTAACTCTAAAGAGATCAAATTATTCGTCATCCGCCGCTTTATGCGGGTAGACGGCTAGTGTGTATATATATATATATATATATATATATATAATATATATATATATATATATATATATATATATATATATATATAGACATATATATAGACATATATATATATATATATATATATATATATATATATATATATATATATATATATATATATATATATATAATTTTCTTTTAGAATGAAAATCACCTACGCTTTATCCATTCGAAGGAGATATATGGTAGTGCACATTACAAAAATATATTGAAAAGATCGGTTGCTTAATGAGTAATAATTGACTATATCCCTATATCAATAATAGCCTCCTTATAAAGGATTTTCATTTGCCTATAAATAAAAAAAGGTTTTCACTTTGCACATTAAAAACAATCCAATTTTAGTGCACATTAAACAAATATATTGAAAAGATTTGATTGCTTGATGAGTAATAATCGACTATATCCCTATATCAATAATAGCTCCCTTATTATACATTTTCAGTTTGCCTATAAATAGAAAAGGTTTGCTCATAAATATAATTACACATCCATTTCGCTCACTCAGCCATGCAGTTCTACCTCATAGTATCAACGATTGTTGCAACAATCTTTTCTATTCTTGTATACCGTTTATTACTCCACAAAAAGAGTGTAAAGACAGCGAAGAACCAAAAACCACCGCAAGCAAATGGGGCATGGCCGATAATCGGACACTTACACCTTTTAGGTGGACCTGAACTACATCAGAAGGTTTTCGGTGACATGGCAGACAAACATGGCCCTATTTTCACCATCAAGCTCGGTGTGCATGAAGCTTTGGTGGTGAACGATGCAGCGATAGCTAAGGAATGCTTTACTACCAACGACAAAGCCTTTGCAAGTCGACCAAAAGCGGAGGCAGCAAAAATCTTGGGCTATAACTATGCTGCATTTGGCCTGGCTCCATATGGTGAATATTGGCGAAAAGTACGCAAGATGGTGGTGTCGGAGGTTCTTTCTCAACGAAGAGTTGAGATGCTTGGACATATTCGAGCTTCAGAAGTTAGAGCATCCCTTAAAGATTTATATGATGGTTGGGTAAAGAACAAACTTGGTAAAAATTCAGAGATGGTGATGGTGGATATGCAGAAATGGTTTGCGAACTTGATTGTAAACAATATGGTTATGGTAATTATAGGAAAAAGGTTTTCGCCAAATGATAAAGAAGGACTTCAATTTCAGGCTGCGACAAGAAAATTATTTGAATTATTGGGAGCATTTGTGCTTACTGATTTTATACCTTATCTCAGCTATTTCGATGTGGGCGGATACAAAAAGGCAATGAAGACTACTCGGAAGGATTTGGACAAAATATTTGACCGATTTGTAAAGGAGCACAGAGAGGAGAGTAAAACTATACAACACGAAGGGAACCAAGACTTCATGCATGTGCTAATTTCCATTATTCAAGGTGTTTTTGAAGAGGAATTAAACGGTGTTGATCATGACACGATTATCAAGGCGACATGTTTAGTAAGCTCAATACTTTTATCTAATTGTTTCTTGATTCGTTTAAATGTTAGTAAGCTCAATACTTTTATCTAATTATTTCTTGATTCATTTAAATATTAGTAAGCTCAATACTTTTATCTAATTTGTTTTAAATTCCTATGCGTAGCAACTACTACTAGCAGGCACCGACACGACACATTTGACATTAACGTGGGCTTTATCGTTGTTACTCAACAACCCAAAAGCATTAGAAACTGTACAAGATGAAATTGATGAGCATGTTGGAAGGGATAGACTTGTAAAGGAATCGGACTTGAAGAACTTAGTCTACCTCAATGCCATCATTAAAGAAACTTTTCGCTTATACCCAGCTGGACCTCTCGCTGTTCCTCATGAGTCACTTGAAGAGTGTAATGTGGGTGGCTACAATATTCCGAAAGGAACTCGTCTGTTGTTAAATATTTGGAAGATTCAACGTGACCCAAATATTTGGTCAGATCCTGACGAATTCAAGCCTGAGAGATTCTTGACAAGTGACAAGGATATCGATGTCAAGGGAAACCATTATGAATTGCTTCCTTTTGGTAGTGGAAGGAGAATGTGCCCTGGTGTTTCCTTTGCACTGCAGGCTTTGGGTTTAACGTTAGCTAGTTTGCTACAACAGTTTACGATCAAAAAACCATCAGACGACGTTGTTGATATGACGGAAAGCATGGGTATGACTAACGGTAAAGCAACACCACTTGTTGTCCTTTTGGGCCCTCGTTTATCCACTAATATGTATGAAAGTGGTCCATGATATAGCAAGTTTCAATTATGGTTATCTCATTCAAATAATCACTGCCATGTGTTTTTAATTTCTTCACATTTGTCATGGAGTTGTGGTCTATCATTTTAGTTTTCTTTAAGTTCATGTTTTTTTTTTTGTATTTTTTTTTTTTTTGTATTTAAGCATTGTAATTTCTCAGTTTCAAGTGGTGGCATTTAAATAAACAATGTTTATTTAAAACATTATATCAAGTTATATATTGAGCATAATCCAGGTTTTGGTCCGCTTCTTTCTTTATCAAGCAAAAGAAAAAGAAAGAAGGTTTTTTGAAGCGGCAAATACAAATATTATAATCTACTCCTAAACTAACAGCTAATTCCACTTATGTCTATTACGGGACTTGAACCCTTAACCTCAAGGAAGAAGAGCACCACCTGATACCGATGGGCTAGAAACTCTTTGGTTATTTATTAAAGGAAACACGAGAGAGAGATATAGTTAGCGCAATCAACATTACCTAACTTTTATTAAAACAGTCGTCAAATTTTATTTACAAAACTGGTTGCCCCTACCGCAACACTCGACGGCAAAATAGTAGTTAATGATTATAATAAAAATGATTAACTAATACACAAAATTAATACTAACTGTGGTGATATTAATAATTATAATAAAAATGATTAACATTAATACACAAAATCACATACCTAGTTTGTTGCCTTCTCCCAATAATAAAAAGTTTGTTAATCTATGTCAACTCCCTCATTCTGTTTCATAGATTAGATTATATGTAAACTTTAAGTTAAGTTCCCTACTTTTTACCATGAATCAAGCTGTTAATAGGCATATACATAAATTATACACATTGAACCTTATGGTTATTACCTCTTGTGACTTTGCTGGGTAGTTCTTTCTTGTTGTAGTCATGCTAACTTTTCAATGGTTCAGGTAATTGGCCATTGGAAAGAAGAAACCCGACTACTGCCATTATTTATAATTCTAGAATAGGATTGAACGACAAAATTTCGGGAAAGATCTAGATCATTCTATCATTTAGATAACAAATTTCATTGGTTACAAAAGTTTAAATGAAGATTGGAATGCATTACCAATAAAATTATAAAACAAAATATGAATCCTACTTATGGTGAAGGTCAACTCTAAACTGTGAAAAGATCTGATAGTTGGATGTAGAAAGGTGACCCCTTGGGCCCTCTTCTTTTTGCCATTGTTTTGCTTCCACTTGTGCACAAGATTAGAGACACTTGTAAGCCTGCTCTCCATGCTTAATTGGTATCTAGATTATGGGACTGTAATTGGGGATTCAGAGGAGGAGACTAGAGTGTTGGACATTATGCGGGTGAATGGTTTAGGTTTGGGTCTTGAGTTGAACATCAAGAAAAGGAAGATTTTTTGGCCCTCATGCGATGGTAAGAAGCTTCGCGACGATTTATTCCCAACGGATATATGAAGACCATCTTTGGGGGTGAAGCTCCTTGGGGGGGGGGGGGGGTGTTAGCAGAAACGCAACGTTTATTAGCGGGTGGGCCATGAAGAGAGCGGTCAATGCTGGTGATTTGATGGGTTTTCTTCCACAACTATGTGACCCGCATAGTGAGCTCCTTTTGCTTCGATCATGTATGTGTATCACAAAACTTTTCATTAGTTTAAGGACATGTCAGCCGGTGCACATAGAAGAGACAACTTTGTTCTTTGACAAAGGATTGTGCAGGTCTATCAAGGATATGGCGGTATGTGGAGGCCCCTTCTTCGGAGACATCCAGTGGCGTCTGGCTTCCTTACCTATTCGTTCGGTGGTTTGTGTTTGTACTCGGCATACGAGGTTTCCTCTACGCATTTTTAGTCTCGAGGGCCCAATCATGGGCATTAGAAGACCATATATTACATGATAGTGGCATATGTGGTATGAACTCTGATTACCTATGTGCTATGACGCCGTTTCGCAATACGATTCCGAGATTCAGCTGTAGCAGTTTCAATAATAAGGGCAACCCCCCCTCCCCCCCTAAATCCCAAAAAAGCATTGGCGTGTGCCATTTTTAGCAAAACCGTCAAAGATATGGAAGTCGATTTCGACATGACTGTTAGACAGAAAGTAGTTTTTTAGTGTCCTTGGGAACCTCATGCTTAGGATTTTCTGCTAACTATCCCTATTGAGGGCCTCAGCCAGCATATGTCTCCTGTAGAGTATCAAACTATCCACCGCTACCGCCTCATAATTCTTCTAGTCCCAACTGACGAGATATACCGAGTTTGCCATAAGGCATGTTTGGACACTTTTAGGAAACATGCGGTTCATTGTAAAGAGCTTCCTGATTTCAAGTACCGACATGATGTGGTTATGGATGTTATCTTTTATGTTTGTTGGCGTGTTGGTATATCTGCGAAAACAGAAGCGCCCGTGAACTTTTTGACGGACCCGCATGATGGAAGATCTACCCATAGGCCGACTGACATTTTGGTCTTTGGATGGGTAGGAGGGAATCACGCGTGTGTGTATCTTACATAGGCCTCTCCTCTCGTTGGTTTGAGGTGTGGGGGTTTCACAGCAGGGCACGCTACTTTGAAAGTCGTTGCATACAAAATGGAAAAGCAAGAGAATGCATGTATAAAAAATCAACATGTGTTTGTACCTTTTGTATTTGATACATATGGTTTTCTCGCACTAGAGGCCGTTGAGCTACTCAAAAAAATTAGTTTTGACATCCAGAAAGGGCTAGCAGCATAGCTTGTTGCCCGTTTTCCTTCCATCGATATGTATTGACCGTTATTTAGTTAAATTATATGACTTCAATTTTCCATTTAGAAAGGAAAGAAAATGTAGTTGGAATAAACGCACCAACGTAGTTAAACATAAACATCATTACTTTATAAGCTTCTATAGTAACTATGGTCAATATAAAGTATTAATCGCAACAATACCCATAGCTTTCAAAAGCATTGATGACCGGAAAAATAATCTTATTTATGATTTTGTCTTGCTGCTACTTTCCAAGTTTCTGTGTTCAATTTAGCCACTGCATACTCCATCCTATATTAGAAAAAAAACATATTTAACCTTAGATCAATCGATTCATACTGAAAAAGGCCAAAACTCGATAGAGCCAGAGTTTACCTAACAACTGAAATTAAAGAACACACGATGTACTCACCTTCACACTCTTTATGTGTTTTTGTCGTCCCAGATTGTTTAAAGATAGAAACGGCGATGAATTGTTCTTTTTCCTATCACTGGAAACACACACAAACAATTGACGACTTCTAATCAAAGGTGAAGAAGAAGTTTTATTTAAGGGTTGAATGGATTCAAATTTATGATTTAAGGGTTATATCGATCCAGGGGTTCAATACCCATTTGCTCAAAACACACACAATCGAATGTATGTGTGTAATCTCTTTGTTGAATATAGTTGGTCCCCTTGATTTCATCCGACAACGAAAGGCGGTGGAAATGGAGACCAAAATTGACAAGCACTACAAAATATTGGCAAATTTCTGAAAAAGAAAATATACATTGAATAAAAAGTTAGGGAAACTAAGAGCAAAAATGCACTCTTCATAAAAGGGTAGGGAAAGATTATATAATAATAATAATAATAATAATAATAATAATAATAATAATGAATATTGTTATTAACATTAATAATTATAATAGAAAGAAATTTCATTTAATCTATTTAAATTATAAAAAAAAAAGTTTTAAAATAAGCAAACTTTACGCATTACCAATAGATTTTTTGAATTATTATAGTTGGCCGATAATCATCTAAATTATTTAAAAGAAAACTTTCTAATTTACCCATAAATTAGTACGAATTTAAAATTGCTAAAATAAGTTGCTAATCCAGTAAAAAAAATAAAAAAAAATTGGATCATAACTGTAGTTTTATATTTGTCAGTAACCAATCCGTCTCGGACCGAATATTTGTAAAGTTCTATCAATAACAAGGGCTTGTGTGGTAGTGATATTTATGATAAACTAGGCGAATTCAAGCCACGAAGATCAAAAATATATTGTTAAAATATTGAAAAATATATGTTTAAAATGGTTATGTTATTGATATTAACTTTGAGATGATATTTTTACACTAATATATATATATATATATATATATATATATATATATATATATATATATATATATATATATATATATATATATATATATATATAATCTCTATTATTTTAAACAATAATATTCATTGACATCAACCCACATTCCTCATTAATAGAATTAAATATAATTATCTATTTATTATTTTTTTAACCATTATTATTATTGATTAATTGTATTTTTAGTTATGCGATCATTTTCTAATTTCAATAATGATGCTCATTTAAAATACAATTTATTTATAGCTAAATGTAATTTATAATTTGATGTTATTATCATTTAAAATTGTTATTCATTAGTTTTAAACCACTTATTATTAATAATAAGTTAAAGAATGCTTTTAAGAAACACTTAATATTATTATTATTAAAATGTGAAAAATACACTAAATAATAAAGTAATAAGATAGACAGTTTGCATTTCAAAAGAGACTTGCATGGATAATATGATATATCCATGTAATTTAATTTTATTATTTATAATTATTGCTTATTAATTATAAAAACCACTTGTTATTATTAATAAGTGAAGGAAACTTTTAAAAAACACTTATTGTTATAATTAAAATGTTAAACATATACGAAAATATAAAGTGATAATATAGAAAATTTGCATTTTTAAAAAAAAGCTTACATGGATAATATGACATATCAATGAATTTTAATTAATTATTGTTTTGAAGCAACATGAACATACAAACATATATATAATAGTTAATTAAATATTATATATATCATCTTCCTTAACATATGATCAATAACATGAATCTAATCTAATTTACATTAAAATTTCAACCACAACATACAATGATATTCATAAAAGAATACTTAAATCAAGAAAATACAAAAAAGAATTAGTATATAACAAACTTACTAATTAAAAACATTAACATAA